GGTATGGTTTATGGAAGAAAATGACCTATCATCCATCAAAAGATTGATAAACTAATGTATTTTAAGTATTATACATCAATGTGATGATATTAGAAAATGGGCCAAAAAAAAGTTATATATCAAGGATTATGAGTCTCTGATTAGAAAAGACATTTCTAAATGACAAACCACCAATCCCCACTGCATTGGAAGAGATGGCTGTTTCTGAATTCTTAATTATACACGTGTGTAGCTATCACTGACATTTTAGAACAAACTCTTGCCACTATATATTCATCTCTCCGAATCCCAACACTTACCATCAAGAACAGCTACTCCAGCTCCTCGCCTAGCCACATTCATGGGTGCAATCAAAGTCCAGGTGTTATTTTCAGGATTGTAACGTTCTACTGTGTTCAGACAATTCCAAGACTCCGCACCTCCGATTATGTACAAATAACCACCAAGCTCACAGACTGCAGACTGGTGTCTACCTATAAAAAGAAAAAGGAAAATCGAGTCAAACCAAGATTATTGCCACATCTCTCCCAAATTTTAAGCGTGTATTTCATACACTGTTGATTCACAGGTCTTTAAAAAATCCAACTTTAAGGAAAAAAAATCAACTTACGAATGTTAAGAGGAGCACAGCTTGTCCATGACTTTGTTACAGGATCAAATACATCACAATTTTTCAGTCCTTTTTGGCCATATGGATCAGAGCCACCAACGATGTATAACTTTCCATTCAGAGCGCACACTCCTATGTAAGTATAAAATACGGTTATGTATCGATTATTTACCATATTAAAATACTGGCTATGTCAGAAGAAAAGTTTATTACCTGCATTACAGCGGTTAGTTCTCAGTTCTGGAACAGGAATCCAGTCATCTACGTTTGGATCATACATCTCTCCACAACTCAGGTCATCTGAATGTCCATTTGATCCACCTACCACATAGAGCTGGCCCTGTGCCACAGTGAGAGATGAGAGTTTCTGCCATTCTGCAGTTATGAGAAAAAAGCTAAATATGGGTTACTTCTGCAACATAATGTGCTTACCATGAGTACGGCCATTTGAAATCGGGCTCTTGGTGTTCGCATAGGAGCAATAAAGGACCAGTTATCTGTATGTGGATCATAGCATTCAACTGTTCGAAGACATTCCTCTCTATTATATCCACCTGGTGAAAGAACCACAAAGATTTATGTTTAAAATATTAAACTGGACCAAAAAGTGTTAAAAGTTTTAAAGGACCCGTTAGTTGATGTTTTTAACTAAGTGATTATTATAGCTGAAACATAACATCAGTGTGCGTAAATTGCTTAGTCTTGGCTTGAAAATTACGAGAAAAATTTACCCAGTTTAGTTTTTTTAAAAAAAAGTAGCAACAATGAACTGAAGGTTAGGCGTACTCGATATAGTATTTACTTGTTATTTCCCTGTCTTCTTGGAATGCCATGGAAGAAAGCACATCAAACCCTCTCTTCCCAAGTTTGCATGTCACCAGCAAGTATAAACAAATAGCCATTTACAAGCTTATCCAGTTGAATGCTTCTGATAAAGCACTCATCCTTCTGTTCTTACCTGCAGCTATGAGTTTGCCATTCATCTCTGCTGTTCCCAGGCCAGATCGTGCGTACTGCATAGGCGACATGGGCTTTTC